TTCACTCGAGAATCAGCCCGGATGCTTGTTTGTATATGCAATCCTTCATACTTAAACCCTCTCTGTTCCCTGTCGAGATCCCCTGTCGCTATTCAACTGTGTAACCGTCTTCACATCCCCCCCTTCTTTTTTTTTTTTTCTTCTTTTTTTTTTGGATGGCACCAGTTACTTTTGGAAAGAGCCCGTCCTAGACGACCTGTTATCCCTCTACATACTTCTCTTCCCCTTTAGAGAGATCAACCGTCAAGCCTTAGATCCTGAACCCTCAGTCTGTGTTCCTGTTCTCCGAGATCTCCACCTTAGAACTGACAAGAATTCCTTTGCTTACAGCCGTTTGTGCTGAGATTTCCTTTGCAAGCTCCGTTCATGGTCCAGCCCTATCCTTTCCTCCGAAATATCCGCCTTCAGTTCCCTCCTTTCCTGTCTTCGTTTCCTTTTTAAGAATCTGACAATGGGGAGCCTTGTCCCTGTGTTGTACTCTGTTGCCCCTCTCTTCCCCCTGCATTCGAAGCATGCCAGTCCTGTATGTATGTTGTCGTCCTTCAGTTCAGCCACTTTGTCGTCGATCAACCAGATTTTACTGAAATTCCGTCTGGCTTTGTTTCGTTGTTCCTCATCTTCGGACCATGACTGTTTGATTTTCCGCCACCTGCAAAGAATCTCCGCCTGAATCATTGTTTTCGTCTCCGCCCAGACCAATTCACGAGGGTTGGATATTTCTTCGATCGTTCTGCTGCATCTCTCCTTCCATATGACCCAAAGGGTCACTTTCCTGATCATCCCGAACCAGACTTTTTCCACTTTCCGGAGTTTTTGGGGAATGTTAATAAGAAGGACTTGGATGGGTTTTTCAGGAAAAGGGGAAGATAAAAGGGAGTTCCAGAGGGTCACGGCTTCTGCCCAATACTTCGTCGCCTCCCTACAGTGAACTAAACAATGTGTTATGTCTTCTGTTACGTTCTCTGTACACACCTTACATATATCAGAACTGTCTGGGTTGGAACCTTTCCGCCTGATATGTAGCCATTGATTGACTGGCAGGGCTGCATATGTTGAAGCTTCTGATTTTGATAGGTCTGATCGCTTTGTAGGTTTTCCACGGAATTTGCGTGATGCTGTCAGCTTCCTGACCTAACAGTCTTTGCCACCTGGCTTTGATAACCAGTTCAGGGTCTTTTGTTTTTAACATTAATTTATAACCTAGTTTGACCGTGTAGTCTTGTATGGGTGTGCGTTTGTTAACATTTGCCTTCTTGTCTGGTTTCCATGTCAACTCCCCTGGGTCGAACTCCAAGTTGCGCAGTGTCATATCAGATCTGTAGATACTTTTCGGCCACGTACCTAAAACTCTTACTTTCCTGAGCAGAAAACCCTCCATGATTACGGTTTCTACATTGGTCTTTATGATCGACGGCATTCCCTCTCTGGAGTGTGTAACCGGAAAAGAGGTGAACACGGCTTGTGTAGTCGCACCTTGTTGTGAATGTGAAAACTGAAAGGCCCTTGACGGAGGGTTTTCCTGCACCTTGACCCCCCAGTCTCCACTTCTCCAGTCCTCTTCTTGTGCCAGTATATCTTTCCAGTCTTGAGGGATCAGATTGATGATGTACTGTCGGTTCAGGCCTCTTCTGTGGCAACCCTTCAGACATCCTTCCAATTCCTGTTCCGTTATCCCATCCTTCTTTTCTTCGTTCCACAAGTGGTTAATCCTCTATATGCCATTCTTTACCCATGACAGCCATTTGTGGTCTAAAAACAAGGGTTCGTCACTTTCGGATCTCAGCCATTCATTGCCAAAAAGAGGTTGTCTTAGTACCTCGTCTTTTGGTTTCGGTCGGTTGGTCTTTTTCGGCATTATTTTCCTCCAGATCCGGATGATAGCCGTCCAATACGGGGTTTGCCCGTTGGTTGGGTCCTGTTCTATTCCTCTCCTGGACCTTCTTCTCATGTTCTTTAATGACCATTCCTTGTTCATTACCCAGAATAATCCTGTCATGTTGCTGGGTGATGGTACCGGGGCTAGCTCCCTAATGCTGTCCAGCGCCAGTTTGTTCCACGCCGTGCCTGGCTTCATCAGCAGCCGGACTATCCATTTGACTTGAAGGGCTCTCCTTTCTAAGATGAATGGTCTGACTATATCCTTATCACAAAAAAAAGAGTATTAACTAAGAAATACAACTGAAGCTAACTTGGGAACACTGAGCATTGTTTCTAAGATGAATGGCTCAGTCCTACGGCCACATTGAAGACAAAGTGCAAAACGGTATTAAAAAATTATCTCCTTCAAAAATGAATGGTAAAGTTGCATGCCCAAAGAAAAGAGTAGTTGTGCAACTTCTTCGTGTATCACTAAGGTTAGGCATTGTTTCTAAGATACATAGCCTGACTCTATGTCATATCTAACATTGGGATAAAGGGTTAATCATCTGAGGGATTAATGAACTATCATGTGAAAGCAACTCGGGAGATTTGGTGAGAGTACTTACCTTGGTTGTATGCATCTGGTTGTGAGTTGGTTTGAGGTTGTTTTTTTAAAGGTAGTTGCTTTAAATGCTCGCTATGCGTTGTAGCGATAGGAGTTAGTCAGAATGTGTCCTTCAAGAGTCAAAGTTTGTTTTGACTTCATATCTGACTTCGTAAAAATCTTGGGAGCTTAGATCTTGACTTCATATCTGGATTAGTGAAAATTTTGGGAGCTTACTTCTCTAGAGAAAGTGCTGCCGAATTGTTTCCTAATTCAGGGGGTTTGACTTCATACACTCAAAGTTTTGCAAGGATTTGGCTCCTCGGCAGACCTAAGGGGCCGCCTTTTTCAAGTGTGCCCGCCCTAAGTCAAGGCCGGCCTGACAAATCACGAGAGGCACATTGCTGTCAATTTCATATTTGGGGTTCAGGCAGTTGTGTCACGTCAGTTGGTTGAGGGAACCCTGGCCACGAGCAGCAGAACTTTCCACGGCCTTCTAGGCCTTTCCTAAAAAGCACGGCAATGTATGTAGAGCCAAGGATCCACAATGAGACGAAAAGGACTGAATGTACAATGCAATGTCAGTGGAACATCAACAGGCAATGTACATCCTGCTACATACAAAATGGCACATAATAGCGCAGTGGAAGACTTTAAGATAAGTCCAGACCTGACCGTGACTGACGCAACAACCCATCACTCGTAACACGTGAGAGAGGAGGGACCACACACATAGAAGAAAGGTCCCTCCTCTGTACACGCACATGGGGAGATACCACAGATGACGGATGGGGAGAGGAGAGATGAAGATGGAGGCGAGGGAGAAGACCAAGATGGCAATGGCGAAGTCCAAAAATAGTCCCTTGCCGATGTCCAATCGATGTCTGCCTCAGAAATGTCGGATCAGATCCTGGGCGCTCTGCCCACAGTAACCTCCGCCTGTATCCTCTGCCTGTAACCTCTCTCACTCTCGTATCTGAAGAGGATGGAGGAGGAAGGAGGAAGAAGGGGGAGAGAGGGCGACGAGATGGAGGGCGAGAAGGAAGAAGATGTCCCCCTCCTTGCTGCCTCACCTGCAGGTAACGGTCTCAATACTTAGCGACAGTCGTGGTCGTCCTGTGCAGGTACCGTGTGGAGCCCCAGCTATGGCGCCAGGTAAGTTCGCCACTACAGGTACGGCCTCCGCCTCTCTCTACCTCCTACGCCTCTCCTTCCCAGCCTTGCAGCGCAGCGCCAAAATAGCGCAGCCTCCAACCAGCAGCATGTCGCTCAAGAAGTGAGCTACCCGAACTGTCCTCAGGCCAGCCTCAGACCAGCTATAAGTAGCGCTGGGCCTGCTGGGCGTCCTCAGGTACTGGCCTCAAAACAGCCTACTTGGTCTGGGCCCCTACCGGGTGTTCAGACCGCGCTGCTGATGCAGCGAGGCGCCAAAGTGCACCTGGCCTCAAAAAGGCATCGTCCCTGTGTACCTGGCCCAAGGCGTCGCCTTGGGACCTGCAGTCCAAAACGACGTCTGGACCTGCAGTCCGAAACAACATCCGAACCGACAACTGCCCGTACCTGCAGCCAAAAGGCCGCCGTAGGCCTCCAGGGTGCGCCCTGGATGGCGTGCGGCCTGGGGGCCCCTTAGCAACCGTCGGGCCCCTGAAACGGGGCCCGTGTGCAGGCGCAGCATGTAACACTCTGTCTTGGCAGATTTGAGCACACTCTGTGTTGGGAGATCCGGCTCGCATTTTGGTGAGAGAGAGATCTTGGTGGCCATAGCTGAATGTACTTTAGTTCGAAGACTGGCAACAATTTGGTATTTTGAGAATAATATCTTCAAGTTTCGGCTGATTTCTATCTGATTACTTTGCTGTTGAGTGTCCTGTGTGAACTCGGTAGCTGCTGTTGGAGGCTTGTCTTCTCCATGCTCAAGACACAAAACTCAATTTCCAAAAGACAGCTCAAGACCAGTTGAGGTAGTTTATTCTTGATTTCACTATTCCTCCGACTAACATGAACCCTGAAACCGCTTCTCATTTCGGATGATGTTCGTTTCTCGGAGTGTTTACTGAGCAAAAGAACATGGCAGATCTACAAACTCTGCGAGTTTAGCCCCTGCAATGAACCAGAGTAATCCATTGCACCTCATTGCCATGCATGCCAGTCGAAGGACAACGAGGCAAACCGGATTAGATGATGTCATCCAAGCAAATACCATGCTTTTGGCCTAAAAGAAGCCTCCAAAGCTACAGAGCACAAAGTTTCCTCCAAAATTTATCATCCTTGAATAGAACTACGACAACAACAAAGTCACAGAAGCCACACTGCGCATAGAGGAAGCATCATACTTGCAGTTCACAAAATAGCTTAAACATGAATACTTCAGGGGTTATCTCAACTCATACCGCTGGGCATGCACACCACCAAAGAAGGCCTCATTCGCGGAAGGATGAGAATCACAAACAGTTGTAAGAGTAGAGATGGTGGTTCCTCGCCATCTGGTGACCTTAAGAGTTCCAGGAGTAACGGTGCCAAGAAAACATCAACCAACCTGCGAGTGGCTCCGGCGACTTGGAGCCTGACACAACTTTGCGGTACTCAAAAAGTGAAAACGTCTGGAAGTGCTTCAACTTTATGATGCTTGACAACTCCTGCAAACGAATGCATCAGAGAACCAGTTATTTAGTCAGTGCGCATACATGCATAAATGCATGCACTTTCATAACACAAACATGCAGAGACGCTGTTTTGGACTTCTGATTTTGCTTTTGCAATTGGCTTTTCCATCCATGGAGTGAGCATCTGCAACCTGCTCAGCTTGTCCTCTACCTCTGTGAATACTAGGGCTACATAGTGCAAGAACAATCATGCGAACTGTGACGACCGTTCAGCTCTCTCTGTACACGAAGATGTTGTCTCAGTACCAGACTCAGAAACCACCATAAGATCAGCATAGAACTCTATCTTCGTCCAGTTTGTGACTTCGGTTTAGCTGTTGAATTTCAAAAGCTAACCCCTCTTTGTCTATTGGCCCCTTCACAGAAAAAGAGGCGTAACTGAGAAAGTGCAGAACCAGGGCATCAAACCTCGGAAGGAAAAGAAGAGCCCAATATGAGAGGGAAACAATCAAAGGAGATCACTACAGGAATAAGACGATCATGGCAACCTGGATATAAAGTTATAAACTAATAACTGGTCGACCCTCAAGGTACCAGTTATCAACACACAGATGATATATGTGACTCTTCCAAATGTATTGAGAGATGAGAACCCTTCAGAGAAATAGAGGGTCCACTGAGAAAGTGGAAAACCAGGCTAGCGACAACCTAACCAGGAGTACAACACCAGGGAGGAAGCAAAGGGAGCGCAGCACTACAGCCATAAGACAATCAATGCAATAACCCATGCCATATGTCTCACGCGACCGCCCTCAGCCCAGGCCAAACAGGGGCACACGACCCCACATAAGGACTCAGAGCCCGGACGTGAGGCAGTTGACTTTGGTCAACTGTCGGAAATTCCAACAGTCGAAGTCCAAAGGTACCTAGCCCAGGCCGCTGGTCAAGCACACACACTTGTTTGTATGCAGGTACCCAGACCGCATCAGGTCCAAGGGAGAAGTCTGCAACTGTACAATCTGGGCCTTAAGCTGTGAGTCAATCTGGACAACAGTGGGAAAGGCACCCGAGGCCAGACAGCCTCGACGACTGCTACTTAAGGCTGACCTCGCGTGAGTCAAGGATTCGGTCTTGCTATGCTGCTTTGAAGCTGGCTCGACTTCAGCGCGACGCTGGCTACATGCTGGCTGTGCACACGCGCTGCAGGCGACGACGCGATGTGGAGGCAGCATGCTGGCGCTTCCTCAGTGCACCAGGCTATGCTGATGTGGCGCAGCCCCTGGTCTTATGGCGCTGCCTTAGATCTACCTGGCATACTGATGTGGCGCCGCCTCTGGTTTATGTGGCACTGCCTTTTGGTCTACGTGGCATGCGGATGTGGTGCTGCCTCTGGTTTATGTGGCGCTCCCTTTGGTCGACGTGGCATGCTGATGTGGCGCTGCCTTTGGTCTACATCGTATGATGTGGCGCTGCTACTGGTCTTCATTGAAGATGTGGCGTATGCCACTTGTCTCGAATGCTGATGTGGCTTTGTCCACGCTGTCTACATGAGGTGACTGGTCGCGAGGAGGAGGAAGATCGGGATCTGAGGAAGGAGGCCGGGTACACACCTGTGGTTGACGTCTATATTGCACGCCCAGTCACGGCCGGGGGCAAAAACTCGGCCGTGGCCGCGCCTGGCGGCCGAATCGGCCAGGTTCGGCCAAGGCCGAACGGCCGAGTTTGGTGCAGGATTTTTTTTCCGTATATTTTAGGGCAAAAAAAAAATAAAAAAAATGGGCATGCGGGGCTGAAAAAACCCTGCACGCCC